GGTAACCCTTCTGAGGCCTCAGTTTAAAGCCTGGGGTGTTGACCAAGACCTCTATACCTCAGCAGGGTGTAAGCTCTAACTTCTAATTCCCTAGCACGCATGAGGCTGCTGGGAACTCTTGATTTATCACTCTCTCAGCTCTCGTTTTCTTCTGGGTTTGTGGAGCCCAGCTTAGGAAATAGCCAGAGACTTGGAGAAATGTAGTCACAGATTTTTGGCTCTTTCTCTGCAATTCTCTTCTCTCCAGTCTTTTTACCCTTACGTCCCAACCATCTGGGAGGCTCTGAATTTCTACCTGTGTATTTTCGGCCCAATGAGATTGTTGCCTTCGGCATAGACTCAATTCTTTTGAGCTACAATTTAGAAAGTACAACTCAGAAAAAAATCTGGGCTGTGTAATTAATTCCTTTTTCTCAAAGATTGTTGCCCTTCATTTCCTGATTGCATTGGTTACTCTCTAATTCCTTTCAAAGATATTTTATGTAATTTTGTCTAGCTTTTATGTCTTTCTTTCACTGGAAATACAAACTCTTTGTTTGGAGTCAGAATTCTCCCCCAGTTACATGGATATATAGGGCCTAAAGGGCCCTCGATGATCTGTCCCTGACCAATTCTCTGATTCCTTTTTCTGTTCTCTTCTTTCTTCATTCTAATTCAGGCATATAGGCCTTTATTTTGCATGCTTATTCCCACATCAGGGTCTCGAACTTGTTAATCTCAGCTTTTGGAACATTTTTGCTATGGTCTGTTTGTGTCCACCCCTACATTTATATTTTGAAATCCTCACAGCCAGTGTGAGTGTATGAGGAGATAGCCTTTTGGAGGCACTTAGGTCATGAGAGGATGGGATGAGTGTTTCTATAAAGAACCCTATAGAGCTCTCTAGCCCCTTCCCCCGTAAGAGAATACAGCAAGAAGTTGGAAATCTGCAATCTGAAAGAGGCTTCACCAAAACCTGGCCATGCTAGCACTGTGATCTTGGACTTCCAACCTCTAGAACTCTGAGAAACAAATGTCTTTTGTTTATAAGCCCCCCAAGTCTGTGGTATTTTGTTATACCAGCCTGAACAGGCTAAGACAGCTTCAGATCCAGATTTTTTTTCCATGGCTGGTAACTTCATTCTGATTGGCTCTTTGTTCAATTATCACTCAGAAAGCCTCTCCCCAGCTGCCTTTATATAAAAGCCTCTCCCCCCAAAAAAAGCCCCTCCCTACCCCAGTCACCCCCTATATCTTTTATTTTCTTCATAGCACTTTGTATGGTCTGAAATGATTTTACTCTTTGTTTACTGTCTTATTGTTTATCATGCATATAAGATGGTTTTTGAGCAATGCCTGGCATTTAAAAAAACCCAAAAACCTCAACAGGTATCTACTGAGTGAATCAAGGAAGTCAGGATCAAAAAACAAAAGGAACAATAAAGGGTAAAATGAAATCGTAGTTTGCAATAGAGGTAATCTTTTTTTTTTTTAAGATTTTATTTATTTGGCCGGGGCTCCAGGGTGGCTCAGCCGGTTGGGCATCTGTGTTTGGCTCTGGTCATGGTCTCAGGGTCTTGGGATGGAGCCCCGCGTCCGGCTCCCTGCTCAGCGGGGAGCCTGCTTCTCCCTCTGCCCCTTACCCCACTCATTCCCTCTCTCTGTCTCTCTCTCAAACAAATAAAATCTTTTTTTTTTTTTTTAAGATTTTGTTTATTTGAGAGAAGCAGTGTGAGCTGGGGGAGGAGCAGAGGGGGAAGGAGAGGGACAAGCAGAACCTGCACTGAGTGCAAGCCCATCCGGAGGGGGCCCCCCACTGCCCTGAGATCCTGCCCTGAGCGGAAACCAAGATTCAGTTGCTTAACTGACTGAGCCCCCAGATGCCCCAGAGAGAGTCCATTTTATACTGAAAATTCATTGAAGTTGGGAGAACCAAGATAGGTCAACCGTCTTCCTGCTGGCTTAGGCGTTTGTACCTTATATAAAGTCTAGACTTGCCTGACACAGCCTGAACTGGCAAGTTTCCCAGATTTCTCTGGGTCTCTTGCTTCCTGGTCATTGTGATTTTAAGATAGGCACAGATACTCCTCCCTATCTCCAGAGGCAATCTGTGGCTGGTCTAGTGTTTCCTCAGTGCAGGCTGAGAGGCAACTGCTGGCATCTCTTAATAGACTGTCAATTTCTAGCCTTAAACTAGTTTATTTAAACCTTTTTTAAAAAGTTTTATTTAGGGGCGCCTGCGTGGCTCAGTGGGTTAAAGCCTCTGCCTTCGGCTTGGGTCATGGGATCAAGCCCCGCATCCGGGCTCTCTGCTCAGCAGGGAGCCTGCTTCCTCCTCTCTCTCTGCCTGCCTCTCTGCCTACTTGTGATCTCTGTCTGTCAAATAAATAAATAAACTCTAAAAACAAACAAACAAACAAAAAAACCCCATCCTTTAAAAAAAAAAGTTTTATTTATTTAAGTAATCTCTACATGCAATGTGGGGCTCGAACTCATGACCCTGAGATCAAGAGATGCATGCTCTTCCCACCAAACAGCCAGGCCCTCTTAGCCTTAAACTAGTTTATTTTTTTTAAGATTTTATTTGTTTATCTTAGAGAGAGAGAGCGAGAGCGAGAGAGAGAGGACAGGGGAGGAGCAGAGGGAGAGGGAGATAATCTCCAGCACACTGCATGCTGAGCACGGAGCCCGATCCCAGGACCCTGAGATAGTGACCTGAGCCAAAACCAAAAGCCGGCGGCTCAAGCAACTGAGCCACCCAGGCACCCCCTTAAACTACTTTAAAATAATCTCCCACTTGTTGTCTGAGCACATGCAGACTTATTACTGAAAATTAATGGCTCCTAGTGACTTTTCAAGAACTTCTGGTGATGTCTCCAGCCTGCTGACGACGTCCCTATCCCACATATCTGTTAACGAACATGGACGTTTATCTGGTCTATCCTGGGCTGCCTTAGTCAATGCTAAAGTTTCGCAGCAGCCTCAGGACCATTTTATGGCAGTAGCGGGGTGGGGAGAGGGTTGGCAGAGATGCCAACATACCTTCATGCCCAGAGATAGAGACCTGCTGTCAGCCATAGTGAGGGGTCTGTACCCTCACAATATTCTTGGTCTCAGGGGTTCCTTATGTGGTCTCTGAGTCCCCATCTAACTTCTTTTTTTTTAAAGATTTATTTATTTTAGGGGAGCCTGGGTGTTTCAGTCAGTTAAGCATCTGCCTTCGGCTCAGGTCATGATCCAGCCCAGCCTCTGGCTCCCTTCTGAGCGAGAGATCTACTTTTTCTGCTTTGCCCTCTCTCTCAGCCCCTCTCCCCCACTTGTGGTCTGTCTCTCTCTTAAATAAGTAAATAAAATCTTTTTTTTTTAAGATTTTATTTATTATTTGACAGAGATCACAAGTAGGCAGAGCAGCCAGCAGAGAGAGAGGAGGAAGCAGGCTCCCTGCTGAGCAGAGAGCCTGATGCAGGGTCCTGATCCTCATGACCCGAGCCAAAGGCAGAGGCTTTAACCCACTGAGCCACCCAGGCATCCCCGTAAATAAAGTCTTAAAGAAAAAAAACCCAACATGATTGACCTTAGCCTGTCAGAGTGTGCAAGTGAGAGGAGGGGCAGAAGGAGAGACTCTTCAAGCCGACTCCGGGCTGAGCACCAACCTGAGGTGGGGCTTGATCTCACAACCCATGAGATCATTCATGATCTGAGATGAAATAAATGAGTCTGACACTTAACCTACTGAGCCACCCAGCACCCTGACCCCCCATCCAGGACTTCTTAGACTCTAGTTATGTCTGATCTTCACTGCCCATTTGTGGGTCAGCATAGAAGTTGCATTTTTGAACATGGATCACCAGTTGGGATCCTATACCCCTAGCTGTCCTCATTCCTCAAAATGCTGTATTGATAGAGTGGAATAAAACTGCACCAGGGCAGTGGGAAGCCGCACAGATCCTAGTACCAGACTGGTCGAGTTTACTCTGGGCAGGTCTTTTAACCCTGCTGTGCAGAACTTGTTACCATCACTGTGCCGTTCCTCAGTTGAATTAGAGTCCAACCCAGGCCTGATACAAAACTCAAATGACAATGGATGTGAAGACCTTGGAGAAGGTATCATCTCTCCTAAGGAGAGGGAGGGGACAGGGGTGTGAGGTCAACCAACCAATCCCCGCCTAATGTGCTGAAGATTCTGCGCCCAGGTCAGCAGAAAGTTCCCCAAGGCAGAGACTTGACCTGACACCTAAAGACCTGTTTTGCTATTTTTCTTCTCCTCCTTTAAACACGGGGTTAAGTTCTGATTTACAATCAGGATTGCGGCACAAAAGGCTTCCCAACTTAGTAATAATATCGGCTACAACTTTTTGAGCTCTATATTGTTGGCCAGGCACTTTCCCTTAATATTTTTTCTGGTCCTCACAACTATATTTCACATTAAAGCTCCTCCTCGTCTTCATGGGACGAGAAGAATGAGGCTCAGAGAGTTAAAGGACTTGCCCAGTCTGCAGGGGAACAAAGATTATAACCAGGTCCCTTCTTATCCCGGAACCTTTGCTTCTAACCATTTTTCAAGACTGCCTTCTTCCCTGGATAAGAAAGATTCTGAGGCAGGTAGAAAGCAGCAGGAAGAGATGCAAGAAGAGGCTCTTAGATTTCGGAATACCCTGGTCGTGTACAGTTCACCTCTACAAAGTTTTTTGTTTTTATTTTTTCCCCCCAGTCACTGAACAGGCGACATACTCTACCAGCCATCTTGGTTGTGGCAATACCGATTCCTCTTTATTTTTCTGTGACGACAACCAGGGGAATGAGGTAAAGCCGTCCAGCCCAGGCTTTTTAAGGAGCTCCAGCAATTCCCCCGGCAAAGAGCCTCCGGGACCCAGGGCGTGGGCCGCTTCAAGCGCAGCCTCCTCCAGGGCTCCGCTCCCGGCTGGCCGGTCTGCGCCGGCCGGGGAGGGGCTCGGGCCGGGCCCTACCGGGCCCCACCCCCTCATTTAAATACGCGGCGCCGGCGGGTGCGTCGAGCTCGCCGCGGACCCAAGATGGCGGCGTGTGGACGTGTACGGAGGATGTTCCGCTTGTCGGCGGCGCTGCAGCTGCTGCTGCTCGCGGCGGCCGGGGCCCAGAAAGTCCCGGGCCAGGGCGGCCACAGCCAGGGCCAGGGCCCCGGGGCCAACTTTCCGTCCTTTGTAGGGCAGAATGGAGGCGGCGGGCCGGCAGGTCAGCCGCTGCTCCAGCTGCCTCAGTCATCTCAGCTCCAGCACCAGCAGCAGCAGCCGCAGCAACCGCCTCAGCCGCCGCAGCCGCCTTTCCCGGCGGGTGGGCCTCCGGCCCGGCGGGGCGGAGCGGGGCCCGGCGGGGCTGGCGGGGGCTGGAAGCTGGCAGAGGAAGAGTCGTGCAGGGAGGACGTGACCCGTGTGTGCCCCAAGCACACCTGGAGCAACAACCTGGCGGTGCTCGAGTGCCTGCAGGACGTGAGGGAGGTGAGGAGGCGGGACGGGGCCGGGAGGGCCAGGCCTGGTGCGGGCCGGAGGGTGTTGCCGGCCTTGGAAGCCGCTGACGCCGGTCCGCTGCTTCTCTCTCTTCCTCTGTACTGCGCTCGCTCGTTCCCTCCCCGTTTCTAACTAGCTCCCCAGCGCATTCCGAGAAGAGGACCCCACCCCACCCCCCTCCTTCCCTCCTTGGTGCGGGGGTCTGGGATTCAGACCCTGGCTCCTGGCCGCTGTCTGCGAAGGCCCAGAGCGTGTTTATGTTTGCTCCGGTCTTTTGTGTGATGCTCTAAGCACAGTGGCTCCTCGCCGAAGACCTGCTTAGAATTTGGTTATTTGTTTCGACTTGGACAGTTCGTAGCAGCCCTTTTAAACATGAAAAAATGGTTGGCGTACTTAAGCTGTTAAGAAATGATCTGTTTATTGGCAGTAGATAACGTTTGTTTAGGTAACTCAGGTTCTGTTCTGATGTGTATTGTAGTCAATACCGAATTCACCGTCTCTACCCCGTTCTTTTGTAATTTAGCAAATTCCTATTATCAAATACGGTGTTGAAACTGATATATGTCCTCCCCCCCCTTCATTTATTTTGATCAGTTCGTAGTGAATCTCAAGCTATTACCCCAAGTAAATAGAGTCCCAAAGCTTGAAAAGTTGGGACAGCAGTCGAAGCTGTAATACCTATACAGTATTTGTGATTGGGTTGTGGGATCTTGCCTTTCTGACGTCTGAATATGATTTTAGTAGTACCTTTTAATGAAATCTAGATTTGATATTCTATAATGTGAGTCAGTTAACTGACATGTCTTCTCTAGATTTAATGCTGCGGACTTAATTGACAATTCTCAAAGTTTGGGAGCAACTCTGGTAGGGTTGTGGGGTTTTTTTGTTTGTTTTGTTTGTTTGTTTAAGGTTAGGTGTATAGAATTAGACCTAAAGGTTAACAAATAGAATGAAACTGCTGCTTGATACAGTTTTGTTTGGGAAATTGTATCATCAGGATTGCCTAAGATGTTCATGACCATGGGAAGATCACTGGTTTGTAGAAAATTGCTAGTCTTGGCAATATTTCCCCCACTCCACTCGCCCTCCCATCCACTGTGATGCCTGCTCTAGTATTCTATACAGAGAATTCACAAGGGGAAGAGACATACAGAATCTGAAGACAGAAAGGAAATTTCCTGAGCCAACAGAAATGTGGGACCGCAGATGACTTCTCATCTACAGTTTGAGAGACTAGGAGGATTCACTGTTACTCTTTATTTTTCAGCTACTTCTCTAGTAGATACAGCTGAGATTCTTAACTGTCAGGCTTTTTGGAATTTTCTATTTGGTATTTGAGGATATATAATCGATGTTCCCTCAGAGTAAGACCCTAATATTGGTGATCAAACACTTTGTTAGTGGTTTGTGGCAGAAGTAGGATGTTATTAGGCAAAGTGGCAAAAAGTGGCCCATGCTCGGAGTACATGTCTCTTTGTGTGCTTAGGAACATTTGGAAACCTCCACTTACAGAAGCAGGCTTCCTTTGTCATGCAGTAGAAGTGTGTAGCAGCATATGTAATCCATAAATAACAGATTTGATCACTTTTGGAGTCTGTTTAATTTTGTGGGTACTGTCTTGGATTACTTAGTGCAAGGAAACTGGCTTGAAAATGGAGTCCCTGCTCCACATTTGATTGTAAGATTCTCAGCAAGGATACTGTTTCAGTAACTACATTTTTTTCTCCTTTATGGAGATGGGTGTTTAAATTCTTTGAACATAGTTACTAGGTCCTATATTTCCTTTGTAACTTTCCAGAGTACCTAATTGAGTACTGAGACTCAATAAATATTGCCAACAGATTGAGGATAAATATACTAATGAAGTCAGTTTTATACTCCACAGGAAGAAAACGTATTATGTAAATTGGAGGTGGGGGGTATTTTGGGGACCAGAGCTTTCCAAATTTACAGTTTAGTTAATTTTCCTCTAATTTTATATACATAAAAGTTGAAAAAAGAGTACCATGAACTACTGTGTATAGTCTTCGGGAGGTGGAACTATTTTATTTTCTTTCTTTTTTTTTAAATTTGTAAGTGGGCTCCATACCCAATGGGGGCTTGAACTCGCAACCCTCAAGTCAAGAGTTGCATGCTGTAGGGACTGAGCCTACCAAGCTTCTGGAGGTGGAGCTGTTTTTGTTTGTTTGTTTGTTTTTTAATATTTTATTTATTTATTTGATATATACAGAGAGAGATACAGTGAGAGAGGGAACACAAGCAGGGGGAGTGGAAGAAGGAGAAGCAGGCTTCACGCTGAGCAGGGAGCCCTATGCGGGGCTTGATCTCAGGACCCTGGGATCATGACCTGAGCTAAGGCAGATGCTTAACCATCTGAGTCACCCAGGTGCCCCAAGTGGAGCTGTTTTTAAACTTTTTTTTCTCTAAAGACAGCAAAAGAACATTTAAATCCACTTAGTTTGAGAATTAGTTAAATCTGATTTATGTGTTTGAAAGAACATACCTGAATTAAAGAAAGAAACTGCCTCAGCACATTTAAAGTGAAATTATGGAACATGTTTTGCATTTGTTTTTTGGTAAGTAGTACTGTTTGATAGGGACTTTGATATAATCTGCTTCTATATCCCTTTGGGTTTTCTTTGTTTTTTTGTTTCCTTCTTTATCCCTTTGGATACTAATTTGGAGAAGGCTGTTCTCTGTGTACTTGCTATTAGAATTATGGAGAGGCAAAGCATGTGAGTGTTTAAATGGTAGTAAACATCTTTATTTTGAAACAACGTGGGGTATATAGTGTTAGGTTAAGTCTTTTTTTTTTTAAGGTTTATTTATTTTTTTTGTTTTGTTTTAAAGATTTTGTTTATTTGACACAGAGAGAGAGAGCACGAGAAGAGTGAGCAGCAGACAGTGGGAGAGGGAGAAGCAGGCTCCCCGCCGAGCAGAGAGCCCCATTCAGGGCTCGATCCCAGGACCCCAGGATCACAATCCGAGCCTAAGGCAGATGCTGAGGCAACTGAGCCACCCAGGTTCCCCGTGTTAGATTAAGTCTTTTTTTTTTTTTTTTTTACACACTTCTTTTTTTTTTTTTTAAGATTTTATTTATTTATTTGACAGAGAGAGATCACAAGTAGATGGAGAGGAAGGCAGAGAGATAGAGAGAGAGAGAGAAGCAGGCTCCCTGCTGAGCAGAGAGCCCGATGCGGGGCTCCATCCCAGGACCCCGAGATCATGACCTGAGCTGAAGGCAGTGGCTTAACCCACTGAGCCACCCAGGCGCCCCTAGATTAAGTCTTGAGCTCAAATATTTTAAGATTGTCTCTACTGTAGTGCTCAAAGTTATGTAGTAGTTCACTTAGAAACTTTATTTGAAGGTATTTATGGCTACCTTTAAATAATTACAACTGATAATTTCAGTTTGTCTGACGTATCATATCATATGCCAACAAATTAAAATCTGTAACTACAGTAAACCTGAACATGGACTATAGTTCACAGCTTTCCCTCAGACACTTTGGGTGCTATTTTGGAGGTTGTGTGTCATGAGAGGGATTTTTTTTTTGAACCCTTTCAGATGAGTCATGCTTTTTAAAAGGTCAAGTATACCCAGTGGGTCCACTGTTAAATAGTAGATATAATAGTAGTAATGATGGGATAGTAGACCTGGTTACATGTGCGTGTTACATGTGTTGTGTATATACATGTGTACATGTATGTCAGGTTACACACATGTATATACATAGAAAACTAGAAGTAGTGCTAGTCATAAAAAATATAACAAGAATGTATAAAGGTCTGGGCACCCGAGTGGCTCACTCGGTTAAGCGGCTCAGGTCATGATTCCAGGGTCCTGGGATGGAGCCCTTCGTAGGGCTCCCTGCTCACCAGGGAGCCTGCTTCTCCCTCTGCCAGCTGCTCACCCTGCTCATGCTCTCTCACTGTCAAATAAATAAAATCTTTAAAAATAAATAAATAGAATCCATAAAGGGGAAAAAGGAAAAATATATCCTGGGCTATTTTAGCAGGTGGAGGAATAATAATACCAAAGAAAGAGAAAGTACTGCTATGTAGTTAGTAGTTAATGTATTAAGAGATAAGACATGCCTTTTTTTTTTTTTTTTTTTAAAGATTTATTTATTGACACAGAGACAGCAAGAGAGGGAACACAAGCAGGAGGAGTGGGAGAGAGAAGCAGGCTTCCCACCAAGCAGGGAGCCTGATGCAGGGCTCGATCTCAGGACGCTGAGATCATGACCTGACCTGAAGGTAGACCCTTAATGACTGAGCCACCCAGGCACCCCAGAATAAAACACGTTTTATGTTGAGAGTAATTTTAAAATACTTACGTATTTTTGACTGAAATGACTGGTATTATCATGTGTTTAGAAGTTTGGATGGAGACATTGTTTTCTTGGGAGGAATTTATTAATGATGTGCAGTTTTTCTTAGGGCTTTTTAAAAAATCTGTTTTTGCTAGATTTTATTTTTTTTAACATATTTACTTAAGATTTTATTTATTTGAGAGGGAGACAGATAGCGAGAGAGAGCAAGAGTGGGGAAGAGAGGGAGAAGCAGGCTCCCCATTGAGCAGGGAGCTCCTTGCAGAGGCTTGATCCTGGGACCCTAGGATCATGACCTGAGCCAAAGGCAGATGCTTAATGACTGAGCCAGCCAGGTGCCCCTGTTCTTGTTGGGTTTTAAAACATAAAACTTTCTAATATGGAAAATTTCAAGTATGCACAGAAGTCAAATAGTATGGTGATTCTCTCTGTATGTATCACCCAGCTTCAGCTGCCTCTATATTTTTTTGTTCATTTGGCATAGGACTTGGGAGACTGGCATATTTTAAAGCAAGTCCCAGACACATGTCATTTCACTTGCTTTCTTTTTTTTTTTTTCCATTTCACTTTCTAACTACTTTGATGTATATCTTTGATAAGGACTTAAAAAAAATAAAACAATGTAGATATTTAAGATGTACTATTTTATGTATCAAA